AATAAAAAAAAGTCTCCATACAAAGCTCATCAACCATTTTTTATCAACAGCAAAAGCCTAACACTCTCTCATAAAGTGGCATTTTTAGTTAACGGACGGGTTTGTATTACACTACTAGTCATGCACTCATTCTTTAATTTAATTTGAGTGCCCCAAGGTATAGTCTTTACGGTCTACATTCCTATCTTCAGTGTTTCATAAACCTAGCTTTGTATGATAAAACCTTGGCTTCCCAAAGTTTTACACCAGAAATATTAACCGGTTTAGATAATTCAGTAAAATTCCCTTTGATCAGCTCCTTTTGAAAGCCTGTAACCAATGCAAAGCTGCGGCTTTTGACCCAATTGATATCATTCCTGTGAGGTGCAGATCACTTGGGAAAGCCACACTTCCACAGTCCTCCATATCTGCGAGGATATATATTTTATACATATTTATAGTTTATTCTCACAGTAACCCTGTAAAGTAGGTTAGGTTAAGAGACTGGCCCAAAGTAACCAAGTACATTTCATGACTGAATGGAGATTTCAGTCCTGATTTCCACAGTTCTAGTCCAATATTACATCTGCTTCTTGGTATAGAAACAAAAGCTGTAAAAGCATAACAGTACATGCAGCAGCCAAACAAGAAGCTCAGAAAGGAAATACAACAATTTCCTTCTACTGAAGTAAATAGGTTTTAAAACAGCAAGACCTTAAGTGATCCTCTGAACTGCAGTGGTGACTGAAGTAAACGATCTCCCTGAAAGTAAAGTAATCCAGGTGCTGTTGCTAAGATTGCTCTATTTTATGTAACTATTTTTTCTTAAGTATGTAACTGCAGCATGGGGCTTCTTCCTGAGGAAATAGCTTCCATGCTGCTACAAGTGCAAGGGCACTTTATTTTTAATCTGATGCAGGATTTTAAGGAGTTTCACATTCTGGATTAAGAAGTTTCAAATCTTGGTTTATGGAGAGTTGAAATAAGCCTTAACCATGGGGATGCTGATTAACTACTTAACTGTGAATGACAAAGGTAGTAAAGCATTTGCTGCAGGAAAAGAAGGAAGGAATATGATTCTGATTGATGAACCATGGTTAACAGGTAGTTTGGCTATAGGTCAGTCCAATGGCCTCTTGGAAATTTCTCTGCATCCCATCAAAAATATCTGTCATATGACCCCATATTCTTTACACCACTCCCATTGTGCCCCAGTTGTTTATTAGATACATGAAATAAGTTCTGGAAAGCTTCATCCAAGGCAACCATGACTTGTCTAAATCCTGGTAATCCTGGTAGAATCCATTGCAATTCTACCCTCCAAGTTGACAGTTCTCAGATCAGATATAACTTTGGGACAACCCCTATGCCTCCATGTAGTTTTTAATTTCTTTATTTAAAGAAAGCCAGAATATGTAGTCAGTGGCTTTCAGCCCCACTTTTATCCAGTTGAATAACATTTTTGTTAAAAAATATACATTCCTGGCTTCACACACTTCTTTCTCCATGATAGACACTTACTTCCTGATTTTTCAACTTAGTCTGCAGTGCTTTAAAAACCTTTAAGGGCCTTTTTTTTTTTTTTGGCATTCTCCTTTATTAGAGAACCTAGTTTAACGACTGTAGAATATATAATCTGATATCTTTCACACAAATTTAAATCATATGAAGCTGTCTTGAGGACTTTAGAATAGTAAGGCAGGATATAAATTGAACTACTATTTTATTATTGTTGGTTGCACAGTCAGCCAGATGGTTAGGCTGGATTTGGCGGCTATGATGATGATGATGATGATGATGATGATGATGATGATGTGTGTCAATGTACCTCAGCAGTAGAGATGGAAAAACAAGAGCTCTTAAATAGTCTTATCAGAAAAACAATTGAAAGATAAATCTTAATCCGCACCAATTCTAACCCCGCGGTCTCCTCAATATCTTCTCGGTGTGCTTCACCTGATAAAATGTGACGATTAAGATTTATCTTCCAATTGTTTTTC